CTCATTATCCTTACCTATACCTGCGCACAGGTTAGACTATCCAAACACCAGCAGCAAGCACTCAGAACCATGGGCACACAACTCACTGGATGCCACATCACCATTCACACCCCCGCCCCCACCATTCACACCAGCATTGGTGCATACCCCAACACCACCAACACCAATGACCACCACACTGCATCCAACACCACCAGCACCATGTGCAAATGCCCAACACACACCAGCAAGTGCTGATGTGGCATGAATGCTTGCGGACAACACCAGGATGCCAAAGATGAGAAAAGGATGAGAGGCAGCACTCATTCTCGCTCGCATGCAGTGCATGTAGACTCGACTCTGGATGGGGAGTTGCACTGAGTGAGTCTGTCGATCCTCCTTCGAGCTTGAGCCATGCTGATCCAAGTTGTTGCACACTGTTTGCAGTGAATGAGTGTGTCAATCCTCCTTCAACTCGAGCCATGCTGATCAAAATCATTGTCTGCTGTTCACAGTGTGTTGATCCTGCGTTGAGCTCAAGCCATGCTGATCGAAGTCATTGCCTGCTATTTGCAGTGTCTTAGTGAGTCCTTTTTTACAATCATTTTTTTTCACATTTCTAACTTAATATTTATATGTACTATCCACAGGTAAACCCTGCACAGGTGTGGGTGAGGGTATGAGCTGGCCATACCACCCCCCAAAAACCCGCACCTGTGCGAAGGGTGTAGGTGCAGGTCAGGTCCCCGACACCCCAGGGTATACCCATGCATATTCCTACATGAGATTCATGGCTGGGCTGAGGCATGGAACCATCATAGGATGAGTACCCATGACCATGGCATGTCAAGTCCCCACAAGATGTATTTCCTCAGTATGCTGCAGCATGGTGCACATGGATTTGAGGTGGCACCTACATTTCATCCTCCAGAGGACACCCTTCAAAGTGATGAAGCTGTTGCAGAGTATGGGATTGATTGGGATGGTATAGACAACCATGATATTCACTCACATCATGACATGGTCAACCAACCAGACCCTCTTGGCAACAATTCCTTTGTGGCCTACATTCCAGAAACCTTCAATCATATTAAAGTGGATGAGCCTGACTGTCCATTGTCTCCTGAACAACTTGCTCACCTACATGCGGCTTCGTCGTAATATTGCATCCCATGCAGTGCTGTATACAGTAACTGGTATCCAACGTGAGACAAAGAATTGAGTTTGGTAGCCTATGTATGCATTGCCAAAGTCAACATGGGCCATGAAATCATAGATGCCATTGTACCTTCTGCGCGTTGAGAAGCACCTCCTCCCACAGCATTTTCCCCAACTTTGCCCTGCTGCGATTTGCAAAGACAACATGGTATTGTCCAGCATAGGGCCCAGCCCCACCGGACAATAAACAATGATCCCAAAAAAAAAACCATCCGCACTCATACCGACCTTCAACATGTCACCTTCCCCAACAACAACACCACCAATGCCAGCACCATCACCATCGAGCATTTGCAACCGCACTGCGTCGACAAGTGCCAACGAGATGGATGCGCAAATGTGCAGCCACCTCCATCAATGACGATGCTTTTGATGCAACGACAATTCAACCGTGCACACATTTCGATTGGGCAACAGACATCGACACACACCTGTTTGCTTCACAAATGTGTCCACATGATCTTTCGTGCCTTCGCTCTTCAATGAAGAACCCATGGTCAAGTTTACAACAACAACAACAACAACCTACACGCATTTGTACATTTCATTATAATGTTAATTCTCGTTCTCATTCATGGCACCACTCACATCTACGACATACACATTATCCTACATATTTCAACTCTATTCCATTCAATTCACATCCCCAACCACCTAAACATTTCACTACTTACAGATTTTGTTCTTTGCCTTTTCAGTCACCATTTTTGTTGCCACTTTGCACCCCATTCTTGTCTCACCGGCCTCTTCTTTCATGACCCAGGTGTGTCGCATATAAAGGGGGGTATCTGTGTTAGGAAGGTCTGGCTCCAGGGGCTTCAGTGAGAGGTGTCAGAGGTCTTCGTCAGGTGTTTGAGGTCCTTCGTAGCCATAGATAGAGCATGTTTCATAGGGTTAGGTCTACACTTCTACCACCACCAACTGTTGCTTGGTTAGTTTGCCTGTCTCCTTGCTTGTCAGGTGTAGCCCTCTCCAGCGTCCAGAGGTCTATTTGAGTTTTACCCCACTTCACCCTTTCTCCCCCTTTCACCTCTTCTCATCAAGCTATCATTCCTCACACACAGTGTCGTTCCACTCAATCAGCTCGTCACCCTTATGTGCTATAGGTCTAGCATCATTCTTCCTTATAATTGAGTCTGCTGCACACAAATTCAAGTTGCTCTGTGATTTAAAGCTATCATCAAAGTGTGATTGTTGCACAGTTTCTATGAATGGAAATATTGTGTGAATTCTGGGGAAATTGTAAGGTAAAAATGTGTTACATTGCAGGCAAGTGTGTAATAGTTGGCAAATGGCTTAATGAGAGAATGTATCACGAAACTTCGTGATAATGTGGTGTATTTTTACACTTCACCCACATTTTAACCACATTGTAATTCGTGCATTTGTGCTGTGAGTGGAGGCGGTGTCTTGTTACTTGAGGGTCTTATATGTTTTCGTGTAAAATGCAGTGACACCACAACTACACTTAGATAAGACAAAAGCTGCCAACTCCTCAAGTACACGGTCAACGGATTTTCTACTTCTCGGTTGATAACGTGCTGTTCGTTGGAGGCAAGACTATACAGTCGGTCATTTGATTGAAGTGATGGGCTGTTGAGATAAAATAGACAATGACTAATATAGGTAAAATCCTAAGAGAGTCACTGAAATATGATGGACAGGGTGATGTACAGTGATACAAGAAACTATCCTAAGTGAGTAGGCTAAACACACAGATACTTCAAGCTGGAAGGGTGTGAGAACCTATGACTAAGCTGGACCTTAGGCTGTGGCTGAAAGGTCTTGCAAACAAAAGATGGGAATGCTGACTAAGCTTTTCCCAGACAAATCCTTGCTGATATAATCACAACAAGAATACAACAGATCTAGACCACCTAAGGACTAGATAACTAAAATACAAGTGATAGACTAGCTGGAGTCTAACAATAGTGAGTAAATACAAGACTAAGATTACCTAATCTCAGTGTAGACTGACTAAGGGAAATACTGGTCCCTTGCACTTCCTGTGACAGACAGGTGAAGTGGGAATTCTCCTCTGTGAGAGACAGATAAAGTGGAAAATCTCTTTTTATTCAGTGGAGAAGAGGTCCTCCTTTTATACATTTGGCATGGGAAAGATACCTAGGTACCAAATGAATATCTGGAATATTCTGCTCCACTTATTTGTAATAAAATATTACATGTACACTATTAAATAAAAATAGAACTGACTCAGTCCGATCGATCTGATCACTAATATGCAAATAGTGGTGCTAGATGACAAATTGAGCAGTGAAAAAGAGTTCATGAGTCATCAGATTTGACTAAGCTTGATCTTGCCAAGTTCTGAATTATCATATGTGAACTCATTATGTAAGTTTTCCTTTAGAAGAGAAAACTAACATCATGAAAGTAAACAACTCGTAAATAAATATGAAACATAGATAAACAAATGTAATCATAAACCAATGAAAAGATTATGTAAGAAACACAGTCTTTAGACATTCAGCAAACCAAAAATCAAACCAGATCCTGATATAAAGTACTTGAATCTTTTCTGCTTCTTTCTTCAACTTCTCATCTATTGCCTCTAAGCAAGCTTCCTATGGACAAAGCTAATAAGCTAGATTGCTGTAGGCTTTTGTATGAAAAATGTCCATGTATGATATCCATATCATGCATGACAGCGGCGATATGATGATCTCAGAGTGGGCAGTACCTTAGGGTACTCATCCAAAGGCATGTTTCCATCCCTGACTCATATACCACAAATTGAGCATGCTTCTTGCAGACCATCACTATTACAATGGCCTGTGATGCATACATAGATGGGGACTTATCTACTGACAAAGAACTGCCCACACAAGATATTACCACTGATGCGAACAATGATAGTACTCCCTACGTCCATCGCTCAAAGGCATGTTTCCATCTTTGACTCATATCACAATTCAAGCATGTGTCATGGAGATCCTGGCCATCACGACTGCCTGTATTACCTGTGTAAATGGAGACTTATCTACCACTGAAGAACTACTCACCCAAGATATTAACACCAATCAAAACAACCATACTTCCTATGCTCATCGCTCATTTGTTATGACATGAAAATATGACTGGGACTGTGCCCTTCTAGATGCAATCAAGGTGAGATTCACTGACCATCATCATATCATTGCCCCCTTATACAACACTGATATGACAGTAACATAATCCATTAGGATTCCCTCATTGACAGGCTATATCTTCAAGGGTATTGTCCTCTGTGGAAAAGGCCACATCCTGGATGCAAGAGCAGTATTTGATGTTGCATCCATGTACACAGACCAGGATTCAGGAATTATTCATTTTCTGCTATTGATCAAGGTACATATGTTAGCCATTGCACTCTTCAATGAAGATCAACATGATGAGGCATACCTGCTCCTCAAAGAGCTCACTGTCAGTTATCCAAATGCCAACACTCTCACATGTCGTGTCATGCAAGTAAGTATCATCTATGCTTGGTCATCAACACTCATCTTTACAACTTGCACATCAGGGATATCTACACAGTCAACGCCTTGGGTGGCACATGTCATGAAGAAGCTGCTGACCATTTCACTGCGGCTCTTGACTGCCATGATTCATCCTCAAAATTGGACATTCATGAAGTATATGAGGATTTGGTGGTGGTACATCCAAGTCAACACACCCAAAATGCTTTCATAACCAAATCCCTCATTCAGCTCTTCAGCAGAGATCTCAAATTGCTGTAGTTGACTGCACACCAGAAATGTTGTGATGCACTCCTTCTGACAGATAAACTTCAAGATGCTGTGAGATCATACTGATACATGATGGACAGTATCGACAAAACAATGAGGGCCATCTGCCTTGAATGGTTCAGCAGTAAGTCTGGAGTTTGCAGTGTTATGCAGGCTACAATCCTCACCTGCATTTTACTTAGCTTTTACAAAAAAACCAGTGTGCCCCTTCTTACTGGTGGATCAGATGTTACCCTCACTGCAAGTGATTTTGACAGGACCATTGACTTGTACTCAGCAGTGATCAACCTGGATTTTGGATCCCCCTGATAGCAGCTGCATGTGGAGATGCCATGTATTGCTTGAGAGCAACATGAAATGAGAGATCAGACTTCTTCCTGTCCTGAAGATAGTGCCGCTTGTCAAAAATGTAGAAAGAGTGTTCGAAGATAATGATAGCAGCTAAATGTCCAATAATAAGCAGGTTCATCGCAACATGGCTTCAAAATTTACCAGAAATGAGCTGAACAATATTCTCTAAAAGTGATGAGTTGGAGGCCTAGCAAATTCGCAACATGAGAAATGTATGTACAATCTGTAATCAATTGGACATACTGCAGAGAGTAACCTAGACCGTATCTCTGCACGGTGGTTGTTGCGAAGCTCGTCTTATTGATGGATCAGCGATGTCATTCACTAGTAAGGCTCTAGACTCACAAACTGTCAACCAATCAGTGATATCTTTGGTGAGCAAGGCTCGAGCTCAATGGCAGATGAACCCACTCACAAACTGTCAACGGGAATCAGTAATTTCAATGGTTAGTGGGGCCTCAATTCGACTGCGGGTTGATGCACTTACATACTGTGAATGGATGGTTGATGTAGTATTCAGTCAGTATGGCTTGAGTTTGATGGTGGATTGAGAAACTCACAATCTGTTGACAGGGCGGTATCATGTTCCATCAGTTAGAACAACACAGAATCAATACACCCACATCCTGACAATAAATTAGCGATTGCATTGATTAGGAAGGCAGGAGGTCGGCAAACTCACAAGCTGTCAATGGATAAACAATATCAGTAGCTGAAGATTGGTAGAGGATCAATATACTAACCTCCTGGTGATAGAGATTGATTGGGTTGGTCAGGAATGGTTGAACTCGACAAAGAATCAATGGACTGACTTCCTATCAACGGATCAGCTGGTGATGGCTTGATTCAGGAAGGCTACACTTTTGAGCAGTGGGAAAAGACCTCAATTAGCATGGCTCTTGCTCGAATAAGGATCAACACACTCACTTCCTGTGAATGGTGGGCAATGACTTGGATCAGCATGGCTCTTGCTTGAATGAGGATAGACACATGTACTACCTGCAAGTAAATGCCCGACGTAAATGAGAGCAACATTCGACCTTTCTAGTCACTGTAAGATTTCCCACTGATGACATCAAGTTCAACAGAGGACATACTATGCCATCCTAGAGCGGTGCCGCATGGTAAAAACATCACATTAATCCACAAGTGTGGCTTCCCCATTCTCCTATGCCTCCTCGTCTGTGCTTGCATCCTGGGCATGCGAGATAAGATGAAAGAGTTGTCACAACAATGAAGACAAGATTATGTTATCTTTGACCTTGACAGTAGTTCAATTATTATTCCTGAATTGGGCCTTCCATGCTGTGCTTTGCTATGCCAGAATGGACATGCAAATCCTGCCACCAAACAATTGAGCACCCAGAGATGAATCTTGCTCAGAAGAAGAGCATGTGGTCAAGACATAGCAAAACCTGCACAGCAACACCTCACAAGCTTTGGAAATGGCCTGTCCCAGTCTTGGGCAACAAGTTTTGCTGTCCCTTTCATTACTGAAAGTGCCTGTTTTCCCATAAACTCCTGGACAGACTTTATAAATACTACAAATCCGATGAATGCTGCAGAGCAGATGAACAGGATACCATTCTGAGCATCTATGGTACTGAACAGCGTACCTCAGCTGAGTATGGGCAGTATGTAGGAATGATATATGAACCTACCCAGGTGTGTATAAATTCTTTCAATATGCTTTGTATTTATAAAAACATCTTCCAGAATAACCAACCTAGCAATGTGCATGAAGCCAGTATTTCTCAAAAATTCAACTTAGAGCCAGTAGAAATGAAGCATTCAAGGAAGAAGAGAAAACTTGGGACAGAGAAAGCTAGTACTGCCAAAGACATCGCTGCACCTGCAACCTCCACAAAACTCATGCAATCCTATTCCCAGGCCAGCAGTCAAGCAAAGAACCAACCAGAGTCCACTAGTTCACGCATCTTCTCATTCATGCCAGTTCATTTCCAGAGATCGGTTTCTCCTCCTCTCTTGATGCGCCGGTCCCCATAGCTGTCTCCTGGTACCATTGCTCGATTAGAGGTATTTGATAGGATGTTAGAAATCGACACAGATAACAGCCCTTTTAATGATCATTACACTGCAGACTATGACACCACAGATGTTTGGGACTCGATGCCTCATAGTCCACCTCCTCACTCACTTCAGAATGTACTCACTTCCAAGATTATCTCTGAGGCAGAGCCCTCACGGGCATATGGTAGGTGCAACAGTTGGCTGCAGCCCCCTGCACTACCTTTATGCCCACCATCTATAGTCACAAATCCCAACTCTACAGACTTCATTGCTAGCCCTCCGCAGGATCAAACAGAAGGGGATGGTGAAGAAAAGGCTCATCCACCAATTCACCCCTTGAATGCCTTTGAAGCTAGAGAGAAACTCAAGGAAGCCATACCTAAGTTTGCCAAGAATGGACAGTGGGAGAGGTTAAGTCTCCAAGTAATTGATACACTCAGAGAACGAGAAAAATTATCAGAAGAAAGCACCTGTTTTTTGGAACAGATTGAATTGCTGGTAAAGACTTATGATACCCTCCACTCAGAGCATGCTCATTGGGAGCAGGAGCACAAAGATATAGCGGCTGAGCAGGCTATGTGGGAACAGGAACGCGAGGATATAGCAGCAGAGCATGCCCAATAGGAACAGAAGCGCAAGGATATATCGGCAGAGCATGTCATGTGGACATCTAAGCATGCTCAATGGGAACAGGAGCACAAGGATATAGCAGCTGAGCGTGCTATGGGGAAACAGGAGTACAAAGCTACAGTTAAAAAGCACATGCAGACAGACAAGGCACTTACTGCAAACATAAAACAGCTAAATTCCCCATCAGATGTTGCTAGGGTAGAGCGTCAGGCTTATGATGGGATTGCTTTGATAAAGGCCATGTTGAAGATAAATCAATTCTTATGATGTTTCAGCGCTCTGCTGACTCTTTGATGCTCAGAGTCAAACAACGGCTGTAAACCAGTATATCAGTCTGTGGGAGGGTACCTCTGCTTTCCTAGAGGAAAAATCCGATAAATCCACTGCCAGCCCACCTAAACCTGGAGAACTAGTACATCGGCCATGGAAAGACTCTTCTTCCACCACCACCACTACTACTGGTAGTCTCCTGCAGGTTCGAAAGAATGTAGTTTGATTTAGGTATGCTGGCATTGAACCTAGTGAAATTGCGGAGGTGAATGAGGTTGGGCATCTAAACTCTTTAAGTTTGAGTCAGGCAGACACTTCAGGGGCTGAAGTTAGGGAAGAGCCTGAGGAAGTTGAAGAAGGCAAGTGTTAGCTTTCCATAAAGCCACTTACCTTCACTGGGCCCAGGCACTTTAATCTGTTGTTGAAGCTTTAAAGCTTTGCTGTCTATCGTAGTGGTCATTTTTCTTCTTAATCTTGGGTAGGTAGACATCACAAGTAGTACTACTAATAGGATGAAGTTCGGATGGATTTCTCTGTTGTGATTGATCCATTGTGATCAAGTCTTACCTTCATGTATGATGGTTTCGGTGTGCCAATGCTGTATGTACTTGGAATATTTACATCAGAATTCATCCAATTAATATCTCGAAGTCTACATACGAGTCTACTACTTATAACCACAATATATCCTAGTAGATCCATAGTGAAACAAACCTTCTCTGTGGCAACCATGCTGAGTACATGCTATGACTCAAAAAAAGCCAGAATGAGTACCAATCTATAATTTTCCCATGGCTACCATGAGTCGAGGCGCCCTTGGCAGCTTTGCCATAGCAAGGGGTAAAACAGTCCCCCTTGCCATGACCAATTTTCCCCTTCCACAGTGCATCATCAAAAAAATGTTTGGTCTTGTTTCTGCAACATTTTCGGCATACTCCATTGACCATGTATTAACCAACCAAAATTTGACCTCATGCCTTAGTACCGTTGAAGGTTCTACAATACAGTGAGGCACAAACAATGCTCCTGACTGTATCTATAAATGTTGTAAGGTCGCGCGTTGCCTAGTCTGCTATACTTGAGACGACAAGTGCATTCGACCCTAAAGGGGAAGCAAGTGCAGCAAGGATCTAGTAGTAGGTGCCGAAGGCGCTACTGGTTGGCAAATGCGAAGCGCGGGAATGCGTGCGCGTGTATGCGGAAACAAGAGAGAGTAAGAGTGAGTTTGCTTAAGTGATGATTAGACACTAGACAAGAGGTGAGAGATGCAAGCTGAGAGATGTTATATGCGAGGTGCCAAGGAATAGATTTCAACTATGCTCTGCTGGGTAGTAAATGGGTATTGTTCTGGTTCAGTTCTTCGTCGTTCTTGGTGGGTGAGTAAGTTGTTCCCGGTGGGTGAGTAAGTGAGTACTGCTGGCGCTTAAGTATGGCGCCTAAGCGCTGTCATGCGGAGCCGAAGCGCTACCGAGTAAGGTATGTAAGGATATATGTAAGTAAGGGTCCATGATAAAATAAAGATGGAACAATATGCAAATGTGAGAAATGGAAATATACGCACTAGGGGACTTGGTGGACAGTGGATGGATGCTTCCAGATGGCTGGCACTATAGGGCGCTCAAGCGTGGGAAAGTGCGCGCGCATATACATCGTGAAGTGCGGGAAAGGTACGCGCACATTGCGCGATGCGCGGGAAAGCTGCGCCTCATGTAGGAATAGCTGTAGGAAGCATACAGAGTGATGCTACAAGTTCGTGCTGTATACTCCTTGGTGAAAACTGCAATATTGCACAATGAGAGGCACGAGTCTCTACACCGTCTACATCATACATGGCACATATGTATGACTTGTTCAGCTCCGAACTGGAGGCATCATACAGTCACAGCTTGGAAGTTAGCACGGGTGCCAATGGTTTGGGAGTAACAAGAAGTACTAGCTGTCTGCGAGACGTACAAGTTCTCTGATTGTCCTTCCTCCCTACCCACAGTTGACCCCTTGCTCTGCACATTTGTCTGTCCACCCATATCGTTTTCATATCAGCTTGCATCACAGTAAGTTTTTTTAATTCCTTTTTCTATGTACATACATGCTGACGAGTCTCAGTGTCTGTCCTCAGTCATTGCGTGTCACGTTAGCTACTCCTTCTCATTGCTCCCACACTGCGAAATCAACTGGTGAGTGCCTTCTCATTTTTGGTTTGCTTAAAGTCCCCTCCCTATTTGGCCTGGTTTGGCCGTTTTGCCCCAAGGCTAAGTAGCGGACCACCACCTCCCATTCCGCCACATCCACTTATTTCCTTATTATCACTCCAAGTCATTTCCAGTTCTAACTATTACTCGTTGTGTTTGGATCAATAGATGATGCCTCGGCCCCGTTATCTTCATATTGAAGTAGCCTCCACGACCTTCCCTATCATCAATGCCTTCCAACTCCAGTATGCTATCCTCAACGGCTGCACCTTCAACTGCATCTACGCCTAAACCATCCACGACGCCCAACACACACAGCGCCATTGTCGCCTTCTCACTCAGATCTTATCACCATTCCATTGCAACCGTGCTGTGCGGAGTGTGAGGCTGTGATGGATGTGTCTTTGTCGTAGGGAGATACTTGGACTGAACACTTTTCTTGGTCTGGAGGCCCGGTTGTGGTGTGCCAATTAGCGTAGATGAGGTTGACAAGTGTCGGTGGTCAAGTGACTCAGTGGTGACGGGGTCAATGTAGTTGAACGAGGAGGGAGAGAATGTCATGGTTAATATGCAGTGCTCATCGTCGCCACTGCGCATATCAAACCTCGCTATGTCGTCTACTCCTCGGATAGTGGAGGAAGATAATGCCGAGGGCGATGAAGACAAGCTCTTCCCTCTCCCATTGCCTCATTGGTCACCTGGGACTTCCACCTGTTTCAAGGTCGTCTTCATCTCTTTCACTTGCAAAGACAGCTGAGTCCAATGAAAATGTACCACATGCACCATCGCCTCATGTCCTTGCTACAGCTACCTCGATCTCTGCACACCCTTTCAGTCACTGCCCATCGCCACAGACCACAACTCCTCACCATCCACCTTGCCGAACCTCTCGACTTCCCTGCATAAAAGACATCATGGCTCATTGTCATTGGTTCGGGGTTATTTTCCGTGTGCCAGTCAGACAGTTGTCGAGCACCTATGGACGTTCCCTTGTTTTTGCTGGTAAATTTCCGTGCACGTTCTCATGTAGACAATGACTGTGTTGAGCAAGTCCTTCTGCAGTCTAAGCCTGCAGGCACGATTGTGAGCAAGCGTGTCAGCCATGATCCGAATCCAGTAGAGGATGATCGGGCCCCAGAGGTAGAGGACACGATGGTATCACCACTCGATACCTTACATTCTGTTCCCCTTGACTCACCAAAACATACCCATGCTCAAGAGGCACGCACTGGCAATCACACTCAACCACTTCCTCAGATTCCAGCAGCCAGTTCTCCGATCATGCATGTCAGGGATGCATTGACTGCTCCGCTGCCCATTCCCTTCCACACCAGATGCTGAAGTGGCACTGAAGATGGTTGCTCAAGAGAATCGGAATGCAAACTCAGTATCTCTGACATTGTCTCTACTAATGAGAGCCCGGTAGCCCTTCAGTCTTCGTCTGCAGTGGATGAGAGCGTCTCAACAACCCCGCCCAACTCCCCACCTCCTGCTCATACTTCTGGGACCAGCTTCATTCCTCCTCCTGGTCCAGTGTTTAACAAGCAACCTCCTCCAGTGTTCATGCCTCCCATCTCGAAGCAGGTTGCACCCCTTGTCAAAGGATTCTCTTTCAATTTGTCTCACTCATTGCTTTGTGTAGATACGACCATCATGGAGATGAACCTTTTGGTGAGGGATTTGCTCCTCAATCACATACATATACTAACATATCGTAGATCCATCCTTCCCACCCATGTATGGTGTCCACTCATCCGTGATGGCAGGTCCAGGATAAGAACAAATCAGCCTTCCCTTCGCGCCCATCACTGTGGTGGGGTCTGGAGAGATCTCAAATGACTCTCAGATTCGAATTTTCTCATGACTACTGCAGTGTTTTGCGCGCGAATCATATGTACAAGAACATCTGAAAATTGATACTCAATAATGCGAATGAGATCAAACAAAAGACCTTTAGTGTCCATAGCATTGTTTTGACATTTGACTTCTTTTGCAGACATCAATGCATCACGCTGAATCTGATTGAACCTTGCAAAACATTTTTAAGCCGCTTGTCCAGCAGCTTATCATATTCCCACGAGTGTGTTTGCAGAGGATTGATTGATTGTTTTATTCCCAAGCCCTTTGTGGGTGTTGGTACAGAAGACAAGAAACAAACGGAAGAGTCGAAACTTGCCAAGAAAGAGCTCCTGCTCATTAACATTGAGTACTTGAGGTTGAGAATGAGACACAATATCACCAAGAGTCGGTTAACTTCACCCATGCATACTGAAATTGAGGAGCAGGTCAACATATTGAGAGACGTTGGCTGCTTACATATATACTCCTGTGCAAGTGACTACACTGGCCATCTGGGTACGCAGCCTCACCTCCAGCCCCCTCTTGATACGCAAGACACACACGAATACAATGGTTATATGGTTCCACTGAAGACCATAGCATCAGTGACATCCAATGCTGCAAATTTCTCCTTGAACCAAATACAAACATCTTACAGGCGGACATTTGCTGGAGATGGGAACAGAGTAATTTCTGATGTTGAAAAGTAGTGAAACACTGGGGAATGGTAAGGGTATCAATCACTATCTCTCTGCTATGTTGGAGCTCACACTTTGTCAAAGTTCCTCTTAGTGTCGTTCTTACCAAATATGATATTCTCATTGATTGCATAGAGCGAACCTTAGATGAAGCCTCTCAATGAATTGAGTGACAAGGCTATCAAGGTACTTGCCAAGAAAAGAGCCAAAGCAGAGATGCAGGATATCTGCATTCGACCTCTAGAGCAATTTCCAGGGCCCATGCTATGATCTCTAGTTTGTATCAATTTTGACACACTCGTGTGTTTATAAGACATGCATGATACAATAAGAACACTGCAATTGGAGCCATAGCATAGGTGAACCCTGGAGAATTCTCTATCGACTTGATACTGACATCCTGGAAGTCGATTTCCCCTTTGTTCCATGATGGTGTCATAGGTCAGTCCCCTCTAGAAGAGGCATCTAGACTCCAGGTTATGATCCGCACGATCGATAACCTATCATAATGGTGAAAATGAGAATGGGTTCTGACTATGGCATGCACATTGCAAAGGAGTGGCCAATACTGAATGTATCTAATGTATCTACCTTATAAAACTTCAGAACCAACAGCTATGATGATCTCGGTGTACCAGCTGGAGTCACTGACGTTACCAGGAACGTTTGATTTTACGTGTCTATGGAGAGTGTAGTAAGGTCAAAATCACAATAAATGGGATCATTTAATGCACGAGCTTTTTTTTTAAAATCCATTTTTGTGTCCATTGGGGTACATCTACCCTATGTTGGACAATTCTATCTAGTCTAAAGGACACCTGTGCCCTGCATTGCATCACTAAGACAGCAAATGCCCCAGTGTAGGGTGTACCCCCACTGGTTCGCCGTTCCTGCCAGCCATTTTAGGTGCGCATCTTCAATGATGATGGATGGACATGATTCTTCTAGCTATTGGGTTCGGTCTGCATGTATTTTTGTTGATATGCTGTAACAGGTATATGCACGAGCTTATGACTTACAAAGGTCAAGACAATATCCATGCCACCATCATATTGCTCCAAAAACTCGTTGTCATGTTGTGATGCGACCTTTTGATATACTGTCCAGAATCGTGATTGCTCATTATTTGCTCCCTTTGCCATGATGGTGGAACTTTGAAGAGTGTCGAGGATTTGCTGCAATAATCTAAGCAAGTTTTCCTACAGCATATGTACTTGTGTCTAATGTTGTATGTGTAGTGTTTTCTAAGTGGGTCTATAGTACTGGTCCAGGCGAATGCAAGGACGATGAGCGCCTGTCTAGGCATGAGTTGGTTTACATATGGCTTCCTGTTTGACCATGTCCAGTGCTGCAACTATACTCATCTTGGGGGGAAACATCTCCGAAAGTGTTGATGAAACAGCGGGTGCAGGCGATGTACTTGAAGAGGGATTTTATGCTTTTGGTGTCGTTCAGCAGGTGTTTCAATTGATGTGCCTTGGAGCCAAGTTCTGCCTTTAGGGTGTTCCTCTGTCTTGCATACGTTGGACAGGTGAGCAGATAATGGTGTACTGATTCTTTGCGCTCTTGGCAGGACGGGCACAGCAGGGAAGGGACTTTTGAGATGCGATGAAGGTGCTTGTTCAGAGGTATGTGGCCTGTTCATAGCTGGATCAGGAGGGATGTGTGGCGTCTAGGGAGGCTGTTGGTTAGGGTCACAAAATGTTTGGATGGGAATGAGGGGTCTAATTCTTTGAATCTTGCATTTCTCGGGGACTGATGAAGGATTGTCTTTGTTTCTGCTGTGATAGCTGCCCAGAAAGCTTGCTTCAGCGCTGATTTGCTGTTTGGGAGGGTGATGAGGTTGTTTGCAGTGCGAAGGGATGGGGGGAGTTTGTGGTGTTCCAAGCTTTTGCCTCAAGCGGCATGTTTTGCCTGTTCGTCTGCTGCTTCATTGCCAGGGATCCCTATATGGCTGGCTGACCATCGAATGATCAATTTTCAATCGTCTTGTGCAGATGGTGTCATATTTGAGGGTGGTTGCATGGTGCTGGGCTGTTCGACAGCGAGGCCAGGAATGAGGCTGCTCACCTCCTCACAGATTCCTCCATCTCCCTGCAACTCATCCTCTTCCTCTCCTCCTCTTCCTTCTCCATTCTTCCTTCGTCCACCTTCCTTCTCCATCTCATTGGTTCTCTCTCCTTCTCTCTCCTTCTGCCATTGGGCATCGTCCGTGTTTGTTCGAGCAGCACCAGCATTTGCTGGCATGTGCTGGGTGTTTGTGCATGGTGTTGGTGGCGTTGGACGTGGGGTGGAGGTCATTGATGATGGTGGCGATGGGGCATGCGTCAATGTCGACGCAGATGATGTGGTGGCTGAATGCAGACGTGTTGTAGCTGGTGAGTGAGTGGTTGTGTGTAGTGCCAATTGCTGGTGGAGTGCAGCAGGTTTCGAATCTGGTGGTGGCAAACGGGCAACTGGTGGCAACACTAGAATAGGCGCTGGTGATGTGGCACGTGCAACGTCGTTGTTGCTGGAGGTGGTAGCATTGTCAAAATGAGGACTTACTGACACATCCCTTTCTTCATCTTCCTCTTCCCATTCTTCTCCTACTCCCCTTCACACTTTCTTCTCATTCCCTTCTCACTTTGCCTTGGTATCCTCCATGTGCATTCGAGCCACGCCAGCATTTGCTGGCATGGTCTGAGCATGTACGCTCGATGCTGGTGATTGGTAGCATGAGGTGGGAGCCGTTGATAGCGTCCTAGATGGAGATGGTGACTGCTGATGTGGGAAGGGGGCTGCAAGCGATGGTGGTGGTGGTGCCAGTGTGGTGTGTGCTGTGCTGCGCATTGGTGCTGGTGAGTGCTGGTTAGGAACATCCGTTAGCGTGGTGGACGTTGTTGGAATAGGTGCCGGCAACATTGGCATGGTGGATGCATTGAGTACTGCTGAGTGTGGAGGTGTTGATGGTGGTGCGAGTTCCTCTGTGAGTTTTGCAAATAGCAGAGGTCTGGGTCGCACGAATGGCACAATGAGTTGCGCTTCTAGGTGCTGCAGCTGTTTCCTTCGTTTCTTCTCGCATTGCTTGCGTTCAGCCGCTGGCTTGGTGATGAAATCATGCTTGAAGGAGGCTATGAGTGCAGCAAGACTTGACTGCTGTGGTAGGGGTAGTACACGCACCCACTGTAGAGCTGTACCTATAAGTTTCGACTTGAAAAATTTATTCTGTTCTGCTGCAGGTAAAAAATCTGTGTGATGCGTGTAGTTCTCGAGCCATTCAGAGGCGAGCAACGAGTCTCTGTCAAACATGGTGACATTTTCGACACCCATAGTCTAAGTGGAGCTGCGAATGATGCAAAATGAGTCGAACAGATGGAAAAGAGCCAATCTTGGTGCAATCAAGTTGGTACTATAGACACGAGCTGCGGAGGTACTATGGACACTGAGGGACTGAGACTGAGACTGAGACTTGAGCCAGAAAAATGAAGCTTTTGCAAGAAACGAGCCTGAACAAGAAGCAGCTGAAAGGCGCCCAAATGCAAGGCACGAGCAGTGAGGCTGAGAATGTGCTCACTCTAGTCACCAGGTGGAGAGGGCCACATCTGACAAGCAAGGAGACAGGCAAACCAACCAAGCAACAGCTGGTGGTGGTAGAAGTGTAGACCTAACCTTCCGAAACATGCTCTATCTATGGCTATGAAGGACCTTGAACACCTAACAAAGACCTTTGACACCTCTCACTGAAGCCCCTGGAGCCAGACCTTCCTAACACAACGCGAGTATAGATTTGGCCCAAGGGGATTGCTACTGAGAACGATTTCTCTAAGTAAATATGAGGGGAAACTTTGAAACTAATAAGAGTAACTGAGAATGGAAGGAGCGTGAGAACTTTTGCTGATGCGATGTGAGCACGAGCAAACCGCTCAAGGTACGATACAAAGTGTGGCTGAAGGTTTGATGAAGCGCGAAAGTGTGCGGTCAAGCCGAAGGATATATATGAAGGTTTCGCGAATGTGAAAGCGATGCAACACGGCAGTGAAATGGGAGGAGTGTTTGATGATAAGGGCAATGGATGAAGTGCAAACGCTTGCACGACCATTAGAGAAGCATGCACGGTAGTAGGCCGAAGGTTTGAATTCTTAGTCTGAGTGTTGCGTGAAAACAGATGATAATTTTGATGAGGGAAAAGATTGATACATGAAAAGTCATCAGTACTAAGTATATATGATAGCACGCCAAAGTGCTGTTCAGAGCCAAGTAGGTAGTGGTAATATGTAACAAGGGTCCATAATGCAAGTAATGAAAATATAAACAATATAACTTTGGAGATATGGTCAGTCTAACGCAAATGAGAAAATACGCACCAATGGACAAGCAGAGGACATGGGTAGGACAGAGGAAGGATGCGCGACAGAACTGAAGAAAAGTGGACGTGAGCCGATGCACACGCATGAGCCACAACCATCAGCTGATTGCGGAAAGGGTGTGTGCCAGGTAAGTGGTAGTGCACACAGTATGAGGGACTAAGGGATGCTGCAAAAATAGCCTCTATGAGGCTACAAGGACTCCAAGTCCTACAGCGGTTTTGCTGGGCTGAATCTCATCAGCATACTGATAATCATGCCAATGTCCTGCACATGATTGCTTACATGCGCCAACATAGTGCTACCATTTGCGCTGGCAGCAGTCCTGCTCTTCATGATATCAGCGATGAGGACTTGCATGCACATGTCATTAAGAAATATCAGGACCTCCAGAAGAATTTGCAGAAGGCTGGCAAGTTGTCCAGAAACTTGATGGTGCCCCTCACAGCTGCCTCAGACACAGTTGAAAGTGCTCCTTCTGGGCCCGAGGCTGAGGCTGTCATTGTAACAGGGATTTCATGATCAAAACTACAAAGTCATGCCAGAGGTGTAAGTCATTTAGACTGTCAAATGTTAATAAAACTAAAACTTGCCTGGGTACCTTAGAAACTTGAAGTGCATATCTGAAAATATAAGAATCTGCCAAAGGAGTCAGAGTTCAGGGACAAGAAGTATCAAGCAGTGCTCACAGAGTCCTTGATGTCACAGGATGAGGATGAAGTGAATGAGCAGGGGCAAAAGACAGGACACTTTATATCGCATGCTGGAACATATTGAAGTGGTGTTGTGAGTATCACAACAACTACCGAAACTAACACTCACTGATGAAAACTGTAGATGTTGAGGTTCTTGGCTGCTGTTGACAAGGCTGTGGATCCACAACCACCTCCTCACTTCACTGCTCGTGTGAAAGGTGATCCAAAAGAGCTTCCTATCTTAGCTGCCAAGAAAATTGAAAATTGAGCACATTGATGGATGGTATTAGCAGAGTGGCTCACAAAACAAGAAAACAAGAAGTACAACTCACCTAGTTATATCCTGGACAATGGACATACATGGGGAGATCCGAAAGATCCTGAGGAGATGGTGGCAGGCCAGAAATGAGTCAAGGAACAGAAGAGGCTGATTGCATCAAAGAAGCACGTGAAAATTCAGATGATGGAGGTGAAGAAGAAGGAAAATGGGACAAAGAAAGGTAAAGGCAAATCAAAGATCCAAGAGAGTATCATGCCTGCTCCAGCACAGCCAGTAGCAAGTACTAGCACAGTTCGTGAGCTGCCTGCAGCTATGGAGTCAGACAATGAGTTCAGTGACTAGTAGATATGCAGAAAAGTGCATACCTTGGTATCTACTCTCCATCTTTGTCTTCTAAATAGTCTTCAAGCTCATTCCCTGCCTGCAGATTTTTTGAGACTGTTGTACTACTAGAGCTATCATAGTTTATAACTTACATGGTCAAATGAGATGGTAATCCACAGATCCTTTTTGATGATGTTTGAGTACACTGGAATCAATGCCAGTGGGCACTCAATCCTTGAGACCGGAATAACTTCTTGAGGGCCAAGTTCAGTGTAGGAGACATGGATACCAAGTGTCGATGCGCTGAAGACAGATGAATATTTGTATCTCATAACAGGAAGACTTACTAGAGGTCCCATGGCATTGCAGGAATGTCATCATCAGATACTAATCTTCGTATAATGGCACAAACATGAGGAATAATATCGAGGACCCCAATGACAAATAGTGCTGTTATTTGTACAGGAACACAGACTCTACCTGGAAATATAAATGTGAAGGAGTTGGCCTGCATGCATCAATTCATGGTACAGCCATAGTGAATCTCATCTTTACAAATGTAGGTGAGCGCACGAGCTACCTTGTTTGCATGGAAGGGGGTGCCATCATCACAAAATAAGTTGCTAACAAGATTAAGGTCAAGCCATAGAAAGCAAAAGTACTGGAGAAGAATGAGATAGAATGTTCCTGGAGGTGAACCATATGCATGAAGATTGATCAATTTTGCATTACGGAGTAGTAACCTGACATTGTCTGATGGAATGTGAATGTCAAATGATAGTTTAGCATACATATGAATGATGGGCACATACCTTCAGCAGCTTCGCTCTGATAAACTGTTATCTGTGTCATCATACTTCCATGGTCTTGGGCTTGTACCTTGATAATGCAGTTAATTTGGTCTCGTTCGAATGAATGAGTGTCAGCAGGAAGAGCTAGGAGGTACTCGTAAATGAGATGAGTTTGGACCCAGTTCCACAAGAGAGTGAGTTCAATTCACCCTCCATCGTGACCATTATGGTGAACACGTTCCAACATGCCATTGAACTGCTCAAATGCAAAGAGCCACCAGGCATATACAGGACCACATTTTTTGATCATTGAAGCTGTATGCATTGAAGCTTGGTGATTGATGGTAAGTGGAATGTGAAGCTGCAGACATTCTAAATAGTAGTGGGCTAAGAAGCTCTGACTGGTGCAAGCCTGAGCCATTGAGATGAAGCAGGATGTGAGAATGCAGACTCCCATGCAAAGATGAAGTATGGCATGATACAGTGAGTGATGGTTACGTGAGAAGTCCAGGGCAATAGTGTTGGGTGCAAGAGGAGGCTCTGTGTCTGGTATTTTGTCATTGGTATCCCTCCAAGACCATCAGAGAATGACTGGAGTGATTGTCAGAATACGATGCCACTCATCTGCCTTCTTGAGTGATTTATTTTCACCTAGCTAACCAAGAATCAGTATAAATCAACAATCTCAGTGGGCAACAATACATTTTTTGGCAATTGAGTGATGTGACTGGGCCATCTAATAACATTCACAATGTCTTCGAAACAGCATTTTGGTGACCCATTACCACCCATTCCTGTATCCACCAAATAGTACACACATGAATAGATGTGATATGATGCCTTCAACAGACCATCAATGCTAGTGCTCACAAAAAGCAAACACTTACCAAGGAAGATACAATGCATGAAGTCGAGCACTGACTTCTTCAATGGTGACCAGCCAGAGACACTGCAGGCATTTTCCCATTTTCCTCCACCAAACATCCAAAAAACATTGATTGAGAAGATAGAAATTTCCCCTCATTTTTCCTGTCAAAACATTGAAAAAAAGTAATTCATGTTTCAATGATGTTCTGTGTGTGGGACATGATGCAAAAATTGGACATGTTCCTTGAAGGATAATGCTGTATTTTCCATCTATTGTCTTTTACAGCTCTGTGCATAAGTAATGGCACTGGCGCATTGTGGGAAAATGATGTTTGAGATTTGTGACTTAGAATATTTCAATGTTTTGAAACTTAGAAACATTTTGTATCTATTATGGCCAACTGAAAGATCTCGCCTGATGTCAAACTTGCCACCATCCGCCTGTACAAGCAGGGTATCCTTCATCTTCGTGAAATCCTTGAGTGTGTTGGCTTCTCACGACACACATTCTTCCACATTCAAAAGCTCTACGAGTGCACTGGTAATGTAGTCAAACCAAGGAGTGCATTCACTGGGCATCCGAGGAACCTGAATCTTGAAGATGTTCAGTACCTCATAGAGCTGGTCCATCACCACCCAGATTGGTTCCTTGATGAGCTTGCTGGACTCCTACTATGAAACCATTTTGTTGCTGTCCACTATACCACCATCTACCAGGAGCTCCACCACGCAGGAATTTCCCTCAAAAAGCTCCACAAAATCGCCAAAGAATGAAATGAAGATCTCTGTGCTGACTACATGCAACAGATGGCTCAATACATGCCTGATGAACTCTGTTTCATCGATGAGACCTCAGTAGATGAACATACCTCGTTCTGGAGATATGGCCATGCAAAGAAAAGCCGATGTGCCAGCATGAGAGGTGTATTTGTGTGAGAATGGCGGCTGACAGCTGTTGCAGCCTTGTCCATTGATGGGGTCATTGCTGGCCATGTTATAGAGGGATCTTTATGTTGGAAGGGTTACTTACACCTTCTAGAACATTCAGTCATGAGTTCCTACACTCATACTAAGGCATGTTATGCACATTGCCTCTATTTAGTTTCCCCAGTGTGAGGCATATCTTAGCAAACACAGTGTTCTTGTCATGGATAATACTCGCATCCATCATGGGGCCGAAATTTGTGAGCTTGCAGAGAGATTTGGTAAGTGTCATTGTTGTGTCTAATGGGACTCATTATCTCAAGGTTTCCATAGGTGTCTGAATCATATTTCTCCCGCCATACTCACCAGATTTGAATCCCATAGAGGAAGCCTTCTCGAAGATCAAATCGTGGATTTGTCAGAACGACGACCTTTTCACAACAGGTGGAGACAGCATTTTCTATGACTTGTGCGAGGTACTAGATGTTATTACAGCTGATGATGCTGAAAGTTACATTCGCCACTCGGGCTACTTCTAGAGTACAGTGTTTGGAATACAGCTGCAGCAATGTTATAATACACTTTTGACCTTTGACCCCCGCTCGCGAAACAGATATGCAACAAAGAATGTAAAAATTACTTGCCACACCAGCGGCAAACAGCGTCCTTGAGTTGTGCGAGCTCGCCACAAAGTATCCCAATAGTTTTGAGATTGTCTAATGAAGCGAAGCGAAGAGAATGTGATGATGTGAACCCATTGTTCGAGAGTTTTGTCTGTAAAGTATCAGAAACATCAAAAGCAACACAAAACTCAACAAGACTCATCTGTGGCCCCAGAGAAGCAAGTTGAGTTGGTGACAATAGGGCAGCAGTAGCATGCATGGCTTGTAGCTGAAGAAAATCAACATTATTTTAAGCTGTTATTTCAAAGACAATAGATGGAAAATACAGCATTATCCTTCAAGGAACATGTCCAATTTTTGCATCATGTCCCACACACAGAACATCATTAAAACATGAATTACTTTTTTTCAATGTTTTGACAGGAAAAATGAGGAAAATTTTCTATCTTCTCAATCAATGTTTTTTGGATGTTTGGTGGAGGAAAATGGGAAAATGCCTGCAGTGAGAGTAGGTTG